CCCCCCCCCCCCCCCCCCCCCCCCCCGCCCCCCCCCCCCCCCCCCCCCCCCCCCCCCCCCCCCCCCCCCCCCCCCCCCCCCCCCCCCCCCCCCCCGGGGGACGCACTGCTACCAGGAAGAGCAATATCATCGGTAAAGTAGCTGATGTTGGCACTTCCGATGCCGTAGTTCAGAGTCCTACTTGTGCCGAGGGGCACAGCAGTCGACGATTTGGTGGTGTCATAGAACCCGACCGTCTGGCAAAAGCGGGCGTTGGCTGGTGACAGGTTTGTGCAATCCGGGTTCACCCAGAGCTCAAACGAGCCCGTGTCGAGCTGTACCAACACTGACTGGCCGGGATTACCGATGGTGACTGTGAGGGTGTTAGAGTGGTGCTAAGAGCAGTCGGCGGGACAGGGTGAGATGGTACGCTTTGCATAGTACGCAATGTCGGAGCGGTTGCTCAGCTCGACGGAGACAGCACGTTTGTCTAAGTACTGAGGATTTGTCGAATGGATGATAGGCATGTGGATGCATCCCTCGTGCACCGAGGCAATTTGAGCTGCGACCCGGGCGAGACATATTGCCAGCAATAGGAGACGGGAAGAGAGGAGAGAGACTGCCATTGCTGGCAAAGGGCGCGGACGTGTGGCTACCGTGCCGACGACCGCATGGAGCTTTTGCGTTGGGAAGTGGCGAGACCGAATTAAGAAGAAAAGAAGATGAAAAAGGGCCCCAGGAGAAACCGCGAGCAGACGTTCCCGCCGTCAACAGAATATCGAGACAAGCAAGTCAACCCAGTCCGATGACTCGGGAGACTGTCGGGGGAAGGTCGTCGATTGCGGCTCAATCCCCCTTAAACCCAAAAAGCACCAGTGCTACCTAAACATGCAAACGAGAGAGAGGGAAAGAGAAGAAAGGAAACCCCAGTAGCAAGATGCTATTGAAGTAGAGGAAAGTAAGCAGAGAGGCAAGAAGGAAAACAAAAGTGGAAACAGAGGACGAGGAACAAGAAAGAGTACCTTGACGAGAAAACGCTGAGACAACCATGCACTGACTGTCTAGAATGAAGCCAAGAATAGACCGGGGAAGATTTGACCAGGGGCGTTGGTGGTCCAGCATCAGCGTCTCAGCCCAGCCTGGAGGGCTGTCGGGAACGTCTCCATCCTCGAGAAGCCAAGAGATTGTGGGGCAGGTCGCGGGGCCAGCCTGGGCTTCCCAAAATCTAGATCGGCGCGGAAGGGAGATTCAGCGTAAGATTGAGACACAATGATGGGCTGACAGATGACGCTGGCTGTGAGAGCAGAGCAAGGCCAATACCAACAACCCAACCAGTAGCTGTCCTCACCAGGCCTCCGCGTATGTCTCGAGTAGAGAAAAAAAAGGGAAACAAAAAGCGCTGTGACACGCTTGGAGGATGATCAAACACCTGTGCAGGGCTCTCCATACTCGCTAGAGCTGCAAAGAGAATGAAGCTCGGGCCTTCAGGGGGGCTCGGCAAACTCCGAACCAAGAGTTACAAACCAGTCTCACAGGGACCAACCGGCCAATCAATTCCCGCCTCGCTGGCCACGCCTGCCACTACTCGTGCCAACAAGCCGCAAGACAGCTCCATAGGGTCAGTTTATTACCTCCTATTCGAACCTCGAAGCCTCCGATCTGGCCTCGTCGCGGGTCGCTTCAAGGATTCATCATCTTCGCCAGCGCGATACTGGCGGCTAGCTCCCTGCTTCGCCTCATTCCACCAGGAGCGAGCCAAATAAATGTCTTGCTGCCAGCAACAACGACCATCCTTGGAACAGAACTTGCCTCAATGCGCTTCCCCGTGGAGGCCTAGCCCGGTTTCCCGGCCTTGCTAAGCGCGCAGTCCATTCGTGCTGTATAGATTGCATGCGTAGAGACAGGATACCCGACCCGCCGCCGCGGGCGAAGAAACCCGAGATAGGACCGCCGACGGCGACAATGGACGCCTGGCACACCGTCGAGGGAAGGACGGGTTGGGCTGTGCCACTGGTCGCCATTTCCGATGGCCAAAAACGAAATCAGGTAGATTCGCTGGCTGGTGCTGGCCTCAATTCAAGGCCATGGCTCAAACTCCACGCTAACCACTCACTCGGTGATTGACGCCATTTGATGCTCGTAGGGCCGGAATCAATGCGTGCTGCCTTGTGTCCATATTGTCTCTGGAACGGTTCTCATGAGTAAGCATGGAAGAAAATTGAGGCGATTCACAGCCAGGCAGCTGGATTTCCAACCTCAAGATGACGCATACTGTCATTTAGTTTCAGGTAGACCTGAAAATCCAAATTGATCTCTCGCTGTCTGACTAGCAGGCAGCAGCACTAATACTATTTTCGACGGCACTGAGCCTCGAGGGCTGGTTATAAAGTCTGCCACAAATCCCGGGTCAGATTTCGGAAATCGCGCAAACAAGAAAACTCGCGTCGAGATATTCCACCCATCCAACAGCGTCTGCAAAAATGACAACGAAAGAAGATTCACCCGGTCCTCCACCGCCGCCAACCCTGGTATTTACCAGCGATGTTTCCGTCTCATCATACGCCGTCTCCGTGGAGACCTACCTTTCCGCCCACCCCGAATTCGACGCCTTAGCCGTCGGGGCCATTGTCTTCTCCACCACCCCGCCGGCAAACCCCGAGGCGCGCGACCACGTGCTGCTGATCCAGCGCGCCGCGCACGACTCGATGCCGTCGCGGTGGGAGGTCCCCGGCGGCGGATGCGATCTCGACGACGAGAGCATCCTGCACGGCCTGGGCCGCGAGCTGTGGGAGGAGAGCGGCCTCGTGCTGACGGCGGTGATCACCCAGGTCGGCGACGGCCGCGTCTTCTTCACGCGCCGCGGCCAGCGCGTGTGCAAGTACACGTTCGAGGCAGAGGTCCAGGCCCAGGATGGGGTCGTGCCCGGCGTCACGCTGGACCCCAAGGAGCACCAAGCCTACCTCTGGGCCACCGAGGATGAGTGTCGCGCGCGAAGGAAGGGCGATGTTGAGCTGAAGTTCACCACCAAGGATGAGGAGGCTGCCATCATGGAGGCCTTCCGGTTGCGGAGGGTGAGGAGAGATGCGGTGGCAAAGGCAGAGGGCGGCCAGGTGCAGGAACAACAGGCTTAGGGGAGCACGCTTGTTTCACACGTTGTGCTCCCACCGGTGGGAGTTCATAGATCTGTTCAATGATACCAGGTCGGGAGATATTACTGATGCCTATACCCTCGTTGCCCTTGACCCATCGACCTACTTGTCTAGCAAGGCGGATTCGTGACTAATAGTCAGGAACCAGAGTTTATGGACGCCTGCATATCATATAGGACTGCATCCACGTGGCAGCGAGACCAGCGGACCCAGACGTTTGTACACCCCAGGACGGCCCTGGGACCTTCCAGGGGGGAGTCCGTCCTGGTCCCGCTTAAGCGGCACGAACCCGGCCTTGGTGACTACGGCAGCGGCGTCCAATAAGATAACAGCCCGTTCGACGTGTATTCCCGGGTCGTGTGAGGCAAGCAAGGAGCCGTGTGAATCATGGGGTGATGAGGGCTAGGGGCAAGCAACGGAGGTTAAAAGGCTGCGATGCTTCGTCCTACTTCCTGCAGCTCCGGTGGGAATAATAGGGATATAACATCGTACTTCGATACATGCAACGGGAGGAGGTTTGTACAAACCTACTACTCTTTGCGAAAGCTAAACCCGGCCCGGTCCCCGAGGAGTCCCGCCCACGGGTATCGACGGCTTGGGTCCCAGATCCGCCGGCTCTCTTCGTTACATCGGGCATAGGGCAAAGAGAAAGAGAGGGCGGGAAAAAAAAATTAGCTAGGGGGGTGATTCGTGCGCCGCCGAGGCAGCAAGTGGTGTCAGGAGGTCAATCGCCGAGAACATGGCAGTCTATCCCCTTTCCCATCACCACACGAGAAGCCCACGTCTGGCTCGATTGGGCGACTAGTTTGCTGGGCTATGAAGTTATTCGATAGAGTAATGGCCCCTGGTTGGCTACCACGATGGTCTCGTGAGGCATTTTGATTGACCGGACCAATGCAGCAAGAACAAAGGCTTCGCAACGAATCTCCCAGCAAAGAGCGAGCCTGACGCTTTGCATTTCTGCTCTGATGCAAGATCTACTGAGCCGGGCGGAAAGGGTGGGGCAAAATCTGCTTTTCCGTGGGCTTCCTGGGGCACAGCTCCGGGTTCGGCCAGCGCTGAGCCCGGTGGGCATCATCAGCACGGACGGGATTTTCGACCCTTTGCGGAATATGTAGGTGTCATTCGTATCGCTGATGTCAACGAAACGTCACGATCCATCGCTGAGAATTTTTTAGCACTAACCTAGGTAGGTACCCGACCTACCTTATTGAAGTGGACGGAGCTGCTTCCAATCATCACTTCTCGGGGAGTACCTGGATGTTGGTAGTTCCCGTCCCCAGGTACCGTATGCTGGGCATGCCGTGAGAATTTTTGTGTGCTGCTCCCATGCGAATTTATTTGTATCATGTGGTTTCCAGCACATAGCTGCAAATGGCCTGATCTCCACCCACATATCAAACACCCGCCTTGGGACCTAGGTAGTCATAACTACCGGCGGATCTAGAATCCATCAGATGCTGTGCCGTTGCATCCACTGGCTGCCCAGTGGCGGTCAACTTTTTCTTGAGTGAACAGTAGCGCGCCACCAAGGAATCGAGGCCATTCTAGCGGCGAAGTACCGTAGGTACCACTACTGGACACTACCCGTTCAGATACTATTTTGGTTTCTATGTCCGTGTATCACTGCCGCCGCCTGGTTTGCTCGTGTCCACCAACGACGCTACTAGCCTCCTAAGGAGGTGCCCTTAGTTATATAGACCGAATTGAGGCACCGCGGACTGGCTTTTAGCTCCCGCTCATTTGGTTTACTCTAGCCGCGCACAGGCTGGACCCCTCGATTCGACGGGGCGTAGGTTATTGCCTAAGAAGAGAGCCTGATGCGCGTGACCTGGAAGCAAGGTATCTGGGTCGAAGTGGCTCACTGGACTACCTTCTAGGTACCTCAGGTGGGTAATGCAGGTCGGTAAGGTACCTGATGACCCCTCTAAATTCAGCAAACTCACCACAGACACCGCTAAACTTGGCAGCGCATGCCTGAAACTGTGACACATAATTATCTAAGTTCGAGGACCAAGACATTCTAGAGCTCGCATCCAGGTTGTTTTGATATCATAAATACAATACAGGACCTGCTCCCGAATCAAGGCCAAGACACCATATCAATTAATACCTATCTGATTACCTACCTAATTCCTTGCTGGATTTCGACGTTCCCTCCAAGTCGCTCGCTACAAATCCGTGAGGCAACAAACCTGCATCCTCCAATCCACCCCAAGCCCAGCCACCAGCGCCCGGAAACAGTGATAGCGCCGAGTCCAAGACCTAACTCCTCTACTGTGTATATAACGGGCATTCCAGCCATCGTCGCCACAGCCTCCCACGACCTGCGCCGTTATTACTGCACGATAAAGAGGCACTTCCCCGCCACTCCCAGGAACCAAGTGAAAAGAGGAGGCATCTGCAAAAATTCAAAGAGACCGGGGTGCGAAATCACGAGATCCAGGTCCGGGGCCTGGAACATCATCACAGATCACACTTGCTTGCACCGCTCTACGCTAAAAAAGCCGTGCAGCGTGCAAGCCCCCCCCTGCGACACCGGACCACAGTCCGTGCCCCCTTCCCCGCCATCAAATCGACAGGGGGCTAAATCACCCCATACCTAAAGGGGGAAGGGAACCTCGGGAAAGATGCCGCATCGCGTCACCAACTTCTTCAGGTCATCCACCAACTCTCTCGAGATCCAGGTGTCCAACTTCAAGAAAACGGCCGCGATTGCTGCGCGGAGGCGGGTATCGCCCAGCAGAAACAAGAAAGCCCGGCCAAGCCCTGTGAGGGCGGTTTCATATGCCTCAACTTCCACCGAGGGCGACGCTGAGGAAACTCCAGCGCCAGCCTATTCGCCCCCGGCCGGGAGAATGGCGGAAGCTTCTCGCCAGAGCAACTCATCCTCGGAGCCCAGCAGAGACCAGAATCAGCACCACCGCAGATTATCCTTTCCCAGCCTGCACCTTGGCCGGCTGACCAAGGAGAGCCTGTCCCACGCACACGCGACTCTGGGCTGGAAGCTCGAGTCACCCCCGATCGTCTTCTACGGAGATGCCGAAAACAGCTCTGGGGCCATTGTCTCGGGTCAGCTGTTGTTGAACGTCACCAGGGAAGAGGGGCTCGAATTGGAGTCCTTCAATGCGACCCTGAGCATTCACATCACGCAAAAGAGGCCCTTCGCCGCGCACTGCCATGACTGCGGAATCCAGGTCACTGAGCTGCGCAATTGGACTTTTCTCGAGCGGCCCTTGTTTTTGGCAAAGGGTAAGTTGGCATAGACTCGAAGAGAAGGAGGAGAATGGGGTGGAGATATCGAGGTGCTGACTCCCATCTCTTCTGCAGGCCAACACACTTTCCCTTTTTCCGTCCTTCTCGAGGGCCACCTTCCGACGACAGTGGATGGCCCGCTGAACTCAGTCTCCTACCATCTGAAGGCCTCGGCGAGTCCCAGGAAGGTCAATGGCTCTGCGCTTCCCACCATCAATTTCGAGAAGACGCTCGATGTGAAGCGCAGCCTTCCCGTGCCTGACCTGCCCCACCACTCGGTCCGCGTTTTCCCACCAACCAACATCAAGGCCAGCGTACACTATCCCCAGGTGATCCACCCCATCGGCAACAATACGCTGAGCCTGCGACTGGACGGCATCGCCAAGCACAACGCGAAGGCCGACATGATCGAATATTGGAAGCTCAAGAAGCTGACCTGGCGGCTCGAGGAAACCGCCAAGTCCGTCGCCCCGGCGTGCCCGAAGCACCGCGCCAGCGACACGACTACGGAGGAGGAGGAGCCGGCGAAGAAAGGAATACAGCGGGTGGACACGCGCATTGTGGGCGAGAAGACGCTGTTCAGCGGGTGGAAGTCCAACTACGGCACCGTCTCAGACAGCCTGGTGGAGATGGAGCTGGACTACCAGCTGGGCAGGCACATGCGCTTCAACTGCAACTCCCGCTCGCGCGACGGGCCGCAGGTCACGCACCAGCTGATGATCGAGATGGTCGTCTCGCAGGAGATGGCCCCGACCAACAAGCCCTCCCAGTCCACCCCGACGGGCGTCGGCCGCATCCTGCGCATGCACTTCGGCACCGTGCTGACCGAGCGCGCCGGCTTCGGCATCAGCTGGGACAACGAGGCCCCGCCCATCTACCAGGACGTGCCGCCGAGTCCTCCGGCCTATTCCGCGGGGAGCGGATCCGACATCTGCGCCATCGACGAGGCCATCGAGCCCCTGGACGGCGTCATCACGGCTTGGTCGGGGTCGGGCAACAGACGGTCCGCCGAGGTCAGCTGTACTCCCGCGGGAGCGGAGCGAACGAGCGAACGGATATGAGAGGCTGGGGGTTGCTGCAAGGAGCTTTACGTCTTCTTTTTTGGGGGGGAAGAACGGCTGTTCCATTTCAGCTCAGGAGCCGGTACTTTACCTGCATAGCGAGGAACACGCGGGAAGGGTTGAGACGACCACATTAGTATAATGTCTATATCTTTGATATTTCTTTTTCTTTTTGGGATGGGATGGTATGGTATTGTTGGTTGCTTTCCACACAATATACCCCCGGGTTGGCTGGCAATTTTTCTTGGAGCGTGCATGTCGGGTTTCGCCGTTTTGGAAATCGGAAAAAGGGAAAAGGGGGCCGGTTGCTTCTGGAAGTTGCATGAATCTTCTTTTCTAGCCTTACTTTCTTTGGGGCATTGGCGACCTCATCTAGCTAGGCATTCTCACCAACTACCCACTGGCGCGAGATCATAATACCGGGTGTAATTGTAATGGATTGGTGTTGGGGATGAGCTCTTCGACAAATCTACGAAGTCTACATTCCCGAATCTGCTCGCCGTCTCTTTCCATGCTTCTAGTGATCCGTTGCGTCGCCCAAACCCCTGTGCCGGTCATACCCCCCCTTTTCCTAGAATGGTTCGTCTATCCGAGGATGGCTGTCGCCTCGTTAAAACATGTCGCAGGCCACCTGGGAGTGTTTATCCTAAACAACCTCCCTGATTAAGAGCCTTGGTGAAATCTATGGCCCGACCATCCATTGAGAATCACCGTTGAACAAGTGGAAGACTGTTGCCACGCATCTTACAGCAAAAACAAGCTTTTTCTTGGGCGGTTCTATCTAGTGTACCCCACGACATATCTAGGTAGGTACTGGTCTCGAAGTGATAATCTCTACAGTGAAACTACCGGTATGAAAGCCCCAGGTGTGCTGACAGGTAAAGAAAAAGAACGGGTGGCGGTGGTATCAGAATAAAAGGGAAGGGGCTGCATGGACATGATGCCCCTCGCCCTAGAGTCACCCCTATGATAACCGGAACGCCTATATCAAAACACACACAACAATGAAACGGAAAAGCAAACCGGGACAGAAAAGCATAAAACCAAAACCGGACCCCCTCACGCCCCGACCCTGACCCCCGAGGCGCCAGCATTCTCGCCCTCGGCACCGGCAGCAGGCTGCTGCTGCTGCTGGGCCTCGCCGTCGCCGACGGTGTCTGGCGGCCTCGGCATCAGGGGCTTGGAGGGGTCGTAGCCGACGCTCTTGACGATGCCGAGCCCCTTGGTGCGGCCCTCGCGGAAGAGCAGGCGGTCTCCCGGGGCGAGGTACTCGGGCCGCTGGACGAACCGGAACGCGACCGTGGCGCGGTCGCCCGTGCGGATGAACGGCCGGTCCACGTCGATGATGGCGCAGGTCTGGGAGACGGGGCCGACGTGGAGCATGGCCTGATACTTGGTCTTGATCGTGGTGGCGTGGGAGAGGATGAGCACTTTGGCGGCGTTAGTCCCATTGGAGGTAGCGGTGGGAGGGAGGATGGGGGGCAGGGGGTTAGAGGGGATAGATAATGCATACCTTCGGCAACAAACTCGCGGTAGACTTTCGGGGCTGTCTCGGTGTCAGACTTGGGCAGGACCACCATTCCCTTTCGGACATCTTTCCGCCGGATCTTCTTCAGGGCGAAAGATGCAGACTGTCCGGCAGAGGCAGCCGGGACGCCTATCCGTTTCCTCTCGATAGTCCTGATAGAGGTCGACATGAACTGCCCCAGAGAGTCCGGGCCGATGAGGACGTTGTCTCCGGAGTGGACAACTCCGGACTTCACGATGCCCGACACCACCGTACCAACGAAGGGCACGCTGAACGTGTCGTTGATGTGGAACTCGAACGGAGCGTCGGCGTCGTAGCGTCCGTGATGGGGTAGGATGTTGAGGAATGTCCGCACCAGGTCGAGATTCTCGCCAGTCACGTTGGAGACCTGGAAGATTGGGCAAATGCGCTGGCTGACAAACTGGGTCGCCGTGTTGACAGACTCCTCCCGGTTCTTGATGAAGATGGGGATCTTCCTGGCTCCGGGGCTCTTCAAGATGCGGGTTATCTGCGAAATGGTTTGCTCCAGAATCTGCGGCGGGCAAATGTCGATCTTCGTGATGACGACCATGATGGGAACGTTGAGGGCAACGGCAATACCGAGATGCTCTTTGCTCATGCCTATCAGGCCGTTGTTGGCGGCAACCATTAAGAGGCAGTAATTGGGGCTGCTGGACAGCAGTCCGAAGACGGTGGTGCGGAGGTACCGTTCGTGGCCGGCCAGATCGGTGAAGGTAATCACTTTTGCGCTCCGCTTGCCAATCTCCTCCCACGACAACTTGCGCCCGGGTGTGTCCGAGGTGACCACTTGCCCGTGAGTGTCGAAGCCCATAATCTCCATGCCTACGGATGAAGTCCGACCGGTCTCGATCTCGTGCTTGTGTCGAAAGAGGTTGACTCGCGCTCTGCCGCGCCCATCATCCAGGTCGCCTTTGACCAGGACGCCGAGCATCGAACTCTTGCCAGCATCGACTGCCATGCGTCAGTCTCCGGGTTTGGGAGTTGGGGAGGGGGAAAGCCAGGAGGAGGAAGCCAGGAGCTGGGGCGGCAAAACCTACCATTTCCTACAACTGCTATTCTCGTCTCAATGACATCCTCTACTGTTGCCGGAACCTGCCGTATCATGACTTTTCCGCTGCAGTCCTTGTCTTTGCTCGTGGTTGGCTGTCCCTCAAACTCTCCTCCAACGTTCTTGGTTATTAGGATCTGACAATCGGCACCTGTCTTTTTGGCGGCGTCTGCCAGCCTCTTGTATGCCGCATCCCAGTCCTCCGGCGACAGCTTCATGCTGTCTCCATTGTTCTCGAAGCCCATCTCGAAGACTGTCTCGCCATGACTGTCGGCAAGGCGCTCAGCGATGAGGTCGGACAGCTGTTTGAGGGAATCGTCGTCGGTAGAGAGAAGTAGGCCACGTAACCTTACTCGAGGGCCGGAGTCGGAGAGGCCGAGGCTGTCGAGGATGTCGTCAAGTTCGGCATGGTGGTGAATGTCTCCGGCGGCGGCGGGGACGGAGGTGGGGGCGGAGGTGGAGGCTCCGTCGGTCTTGGAGCTCGGATAGCGCAGCGATTGCTGCTTCTCGACGTACTCGGCAAAGTCGCTGAGGGCAGCCTCGCCCTTCCGCTTCTCCTGCGGTAATTGTTTGGTTTTGCTGGTCATGGCGCCGGGGTCCAGGTGCTTGTTAGGTTAGGGTATGTATTCGTGGGATCATCGAAGCGGTATGTCCTGTATTTGGCAGTCAAGATACAATACTCGGAGGAAACAGATGCGCATGAAGATAGACCTTCTAGGCTTTTTGTACTCGGGGTCGCCAGGAAATAATCGATGTTGGCCGTGTGAGTCGAAGGTCGCAGAATGGAGTCATAGATGCGAGGGGCGAGGTTGACCTAGGTACCTAGCTGCGCGGTGCACTGGCCACCTTGGGGAAGAAACGGCTACCAGTCATGTCACCGAAGAACCAGGGGAAACTGACAGGTCTTGCTTTCCCGGTCCCAGCCAAGGTTAGAATTCTTTGACTCATCATAGCTGAGTTAAAATCCAAAAGCCTAAGCTCCTCTGGAGCAGCTACAATCCGCTGTACACTTCGCTTCATGTTGTCTTTTTTGTCCTGTGGTGGGATGCTTGACTGCCCCTCCTCCCCACCCCCACTCTCCCCACCCTCCCCGCAATCGGTATCACCTTCCATTCTATGCCTGATGGCGCTGCATCAATATTAAGGTATGCCATTTGATATAGAGGCAGGAGCAAGGGCAGAACGAGGTTCCTACGGTTCATATAGATGGCATAATACGTGAACCAGTTGTGTCTGAATCACAGTCTCTCCTAGGCCAAACCTCCGCCCCTCTCCGAGGGCACGGGGTTCGAGAAGACAATCCACACGGGATGTTCAGGAAAGCCAACTTAGACTTCTATGTGCAAGAAGCAGTCGCTCCCCTTACTGCGCCCCTCGGGCCTCGATACATGTATGACTCAGAGCACGCGTACAGCGGTAGCCCATCCGGCTCGGTAGATGTGTCCTTCTCTGCGCAGCTTACCGCTCGCAGGCCGGGGTGCAGCTTCGTCATTATATTGACGTGCTGGTTGTCGCAAGCATCATCTCTCTCACCTTACCGTCGTAGACATCAAGGGGACATGAGAGTGATGTAAGGAGCTCACTCGAGTGGGAAGGAACTGATGGACGTCAGCTAGGTAGCCTTTTTTTTTTTCTTTTGTCGCGTCCATGTACTCGGAGATTTGCAGGTGCAAAACCACCTGGACCTGAATCTCTATCCTCTTAATTATAAAATAGAGTACTTCTCGTGGCGATGACTGCTTGCCACCTCTTCGCCTGAACGCCTCCTGTGGCCGCCGCTTTTGATGACACTCCCGACTTTGGGGTGACTGGGGCACGGACTCCGCCAGTCGTCAATGATGCAACTTCTGCATTCTTAGAGCCTCATCTTGCTGACCGTCTGCCCAATAACTCCTGAATCTCGGGTATTCCGAGATGAGCAGCATAACCACAATCCTCAAGCTGCCAGTGGTCACCGCGATTGTGATCCAGGGGAGATGAGGACCACGCTGTCGCCTGAATAGCAGTCAGTCACACAGCCTAGCTCACTAATACAGTTCACACTAACCTCTGACAAAAATCATCTCGGATTTCCTATTGACAGTCTGTGAAATGACCAGTTAGATAAGCTCTGAAGTTGTTGGAGGCCCGCCATGGTGACGAACCTTGATCTCTTCGTCGTCATCCTCGTCGTCCTCAACGACGTATATGGTTTCTTCCACCTCGCCGAGAACAAGATTGCAGTGACTGTCATAAGCCTAGTAATGGGGAGATACGTCAGTATATCATATCCGACGTCCAGGCCACAGGTAAAACGGAGATGGCGCACGTGGAGGCGGCCCTTGAGCTCGCGGTCGCCCCGAAGCTTCACAAAGACGACTTCATCGAGCAGTAGGCGCACAAGATCGAGGGGCTCTGATGGAACCGAGACATCTTCTGCAGCTTCCGCCATGGTCAATCCTATCTATTTTTGGCGACACGACGAGCTGATATTGCGAGCAGAAAGGCGAAGCTGAGGACGACAGAAGCAGTGACACTGCAATGGGAGAGCAAGCGCATGGGCCAATCCTGTTTTTCCCCTCCGCCCCACCTGCGCCCAAGCTCTTCGGGTGGGAAAATCTTGGTGCCGCGCGACCCTCAGGTACCTACGTACCTTACAGTTACGCTAGACCCCTGAACCAACCCCCCGTTATTTTGTCAATGTCCACCGCCCAGCCAAGCACAACGGTGGGTGCGGGATCGCGGTGGTGTCCACTTCCCCAGGTTTAACCGACCTGGCGCCCAGCTTTCTCCACACGACTCCTCGATGCCAGCAATGTTGCGCCATTACCTCCTCTCTTTCATCCGAATGCCAACAGACTGCAGTATCAGATAATGTGTTCCACCCAGAGCGAGCACCCATGAACGCAGCTTTCTCCATCGTGGAGGCCCTCGGGTGCCGCTTCCGCCCCCATCAAGCACCCCGAGGGACACCGTCGCGAATAATAAAGCTGCGTCTTGCCAATTCTCTTCGCCGGGCCGGACGATGCCTGAGTATAGACTCGGCGTTGCAGCCAGCTCGAGTTCCTGGGTCCAGTTCACCGTTTCCAAGCTTCGCGGCACCGACTGGCACCATCCGCGCCCAGGATACGCCCAGTCCGACAAAGGACCCAGAGGTTGGCGACGCTGAGCTGGGCCTCCTTCGGGAAATCCTTGCACTCAATCATCCCTCGAGAGCTGGCATAAAGGGAGAACCTCGTTTCGGCCTGAACCAGTCGGCCCTGTCTACCACCCATACAGCCGACCAACCGATTGCGGCCACCACTTTCCCGTCATCGCCGTCTTCGGACCTGCTGCGTGCATTCAGAAACACCCGCAAGACCTTCGAGTACCTTAAGGCGGCCACGGCTACCTCACCTGCTCCTGCCCAGGAAGTCACATTTAAACTCCAAGGTGCAATCGCGGATCTGCCCCCAAGTACTTTCTCCGAGCTGCTGCGTTCTCTCGACCCAGTGGCCTATGTCAGCAAGGAGATGGATCCGGCTGAGGGTGTTCACGTCGGCCCGGGAATGGCCCAGTATACCGATCTGGGGCGGGTCATTGACGAGTTCGGCGTCCGGCGCATCTACTTTTGGCTGCTCCGGAGACTAGTCGCCGTCGCCCAGGTCCGGATCGAAGCCGGGCACGGCCTGCTTCAATCAGACTACAAGATCCTTCTCCGCTGTGCCGGAGCGGCATCCGATCTGCACATGGCGAAGAAGATCTGGCACCTGATGGAGACTAGGGGCCAGATCTCGCTCCGAGATGGCGATGCCTACACCGAGTTCATCAAGGCACGCTTCTTGACCGAGGCGCTCTACACGCAATTCGACATGGCCCGATTTCGAGTCTCGCCAGGAAACATGCACAAACAGAAGATATGGCTCGCTCCGCGCCAACTAAGCAGGATCAGGAAGCTTCGATATAACATCGTCACCAAGCAAGCGCACCGCTTCGGGCAGAACCGGTACACGCCAGAAAAGGCGGAAGGGCTGGTGAGAATCTTGCGGAAAACCAAGCCGATCCGGAAAGTCTTCCTCAAAGTCGTCAAGGACGGCGTTGCGGTGGACGAGAAGCTGCTCTGCTCAGCCATGGTGGCCTTTGCGCGGAACGGTGCCCTGCAGTTCATCAAGGTGATGATATTGTCGAGATACTGGAAGATAAAGGTCAATACTGTGAAGGCGACCCGCGAGGTCACAGTCAGCGGGGGCACAACCGTCTACAGGCCTGACTCGCCAATGCACCCGACCGCGCGATTGTTGGACGCCGTGGTCGAGAGCTTTTGCTGCAACGCAGAAATCGCCACCGCATTCAAGCTACTCGACTTCATCTCGAACCGGTACGGCATTCCCATTCCCGACAAAACCTGGTTCAAGCTGCTGGAATGGGCCTATGTTCAGTCCTCGAGGCCGGCCTCGCTGGAGTGGAAGCTTGCCGGTTGGCCAGAGAAAACCGTGCGACAGGATACAGTACAGCTGATCTGGGATACCATGGTTTCGGAGCCGTACAATGTGCGGCCAGGCTTCAACGAGCACATCATCCTGATCAAGTCCTTGCTCAGCCGGGGTCGGCTAAAGGACGCCATGCAACGGATGCTCGAGCTCCAGCCAGCGTACGCCAAGACTCTGGTAGACCTCGAGGATGCCTTCTATGAGCACGTGCACACCTCCCGCCTCGGCATTGATCCTGCACAGTCGTTGCAGCGCTGGCTTGGAGCCCGCACTCAAAAGCAGATGATGTGGTACGCCATCCAAACCTGCTGCTGGAAGCTGTTCAAGAAAGTCCGCAGCAACAGAATCGACGACATCATGACGGTCCGTCTGATCCCGCAGCTCATTGACGCCTTCCGACCCTTCTTCGCCCGCTCCCTTCGCTACCGCACCGCAACCGGGGTCGTGGAAATCCGCAATCCGAATCCTGTGGCCTTGTTCGAATCCGGCGCCCGAAACGTGAGGCTGCCAGCGCTTATCACGCAGGATCTGGTTGGCGTCCCTCGTCCTCAGGGGGTGGGAGCTGGAGGGGCGGATGGGCTGTCCTCCGGCTCTGCGGACATGGTATCACGGTCAACGCGCCCTGATCCGGATACGTCCAAGGTTTGGAGACGCCAGAGTGTTCGGGTCGGTCATAACCTTGCTTCAAAGGTGCTGCCCAAGATGTTGCGCCAGGAAATGCCTTCAGCTAAGCAACTCCTACGGGAATTTGTCTGAGCATCGGGGAGCGATTAGGTGTGAGAGAATAACTGGTAACACCATGTAAACACGTCCAATGATGAGCTACCTAGGTAGTTGAAATTAGGTACTCTACGTCAATGTCTGAAACAGCTTGATGCTATCAATGTATCTACCTCGACTGCCAGCAAGGCAGGAGAAATTCCAAATCCCCATAAACGCCACTCGTCTCGTGTAAGGTCGACTTATGCTGGCTACAATCTATATGTCGAGATATGTATGGTGAAGTACTGCTCCTCCCCACCGCTCCAGACGTTCCGGCAGGCTTATCCATCCATCCATCCCTCCACCATCCATGCCCCATCATCACTTTGCCTTGACCTTCTCCAGCCGCAAGTCATTCATGACCATGTATCGGCTAAAGACAATCCATCCGTACCTAAACCACAGCATCTGGCTCTTGTGCGCCGACGTCATGGCCTTCCACGCCGTGGCGAGCCCGCCGGGGCCGACGCCGCTGAAGTAGACCAGCCCGTTGGGGCGCTGCTTGTTCTTGAACTCGACGCGCAGGCCCCACGACGCCAGGGTGGCGACGACGTCGAGGAAGCCAGTGTACTTGCGCGCGACCGACACCGACGTCAGCGTGTACAGGTCCACGGGCGGCTGCCACCCGCTCCGGCCCTGCACGAGGTTGTGGACGAACGACCGCGCCCCGTGGTACAGGCTCGCGTGGTTCGGGTGGCCCGACACGCCGGCCGCGTCGAAGGTGATGAGGGCGTCGATGGTCGCCGTCGGGGGCCCGCCCGCCGAGTCGGACGACGGTTTGGGGGACCTGGAGGAGGAGGAGGAGTTGGAGGACAGGTGCGGCGCGAATGCTGACGACAGCAGGGCCGAGATCTTGGCCGAGTCCCACGTCGCTGTCATGCTGTCGGGGAAGTCGGCGCTCTCGATGACGAACACGTCCTCCTCATTCCGCAGCCCGAGCATCATGCCGCTCTTGACCAGCTCCTTCTTGCGCGTCTCGCCCAGACCATTGGCGTCACCTGTGAAGGGGGGGGGATTCGTGTCAGCGATCGCAGCGGGCTGGGGGCGGCAGTAGGTCTGCTGGCGAGTGAGGGGCGGGTGGAAGGGGGGGGGGGGTTGAATGGTCAGAAACAGAATCACGTACCACTGCTCAGACACAGAATCTTGACGTGGTTGCCCGTCTCGGGCCGCGTGAGCGCCAGCACTGTGGGCGCGAAGAACATGGCCTCGTCATCGGGGTGGGCGATCAGGAGGCAGATGCGCTTGTTGCGCAGGGTGGGGAAGCGAGTCTGCGCCACCGAGACAGTGTACAGGTAGAGCGACGGGAGGACGAAGGCGACGACTCCCAGCACGACCAGCCAATCCATTGTTCGGGAGGGGGCGCTCTGCGACAACCGGTGCAGTAGGTGGATTCCACCAGCCTTCCCTCGCCCTGTGAGTCGTGGTTCTTGACTCGAGGGCTATAACTGACCCGCTTGAAGATGCAAGGGGGCGCAAGAGCAGGCTGAGGGGCAGGTTGATAGCTGGTAAGCAAAGCTGGTCGTGTCGGCTGGATATGGTCGAGGGACAGAAGGCAGAAGAAGCAGAGCACGCGAGTCACACCTGTCTCCTACCTACCCCCTTTGTCGCGGGCTCGCATGAGATGGGATCCGGATAACAGGAAATAGGAAATGCCACCTTGCGATTAAGGAAACCCCTGCTAGTCACCCTGAAGTCGAGATCTGGGGCGTGGGACTCGGCATGGACCCTTTTCACACAATCTTAGCTTAGTTCGTCCTAGCTGCTGGCAGGGAAGCTCAATTTCCTTTTTAGTCGATGGCGAATGGGCGCCGTCATTGGTCCTGGGTGAAATTGTCTCCGAACAGCTCCAAGTGGGGCCGAGGGCTAGAGCTCAGGTCTTTGCCAGTTGTCTGCAGCTGTGGTCCCTGCCTGGTCTTCCCAGTCGGCAAGGGAACACGAGAGCTTGTCTTGCACCTCACCCTTCCGAACCAGACGACGAAACGACGCAATGGCTCGAAAACGCAGAGAAACGTCTCCGTCCAGCATCAAGCTGAAGCAACCGGACCGATCTGGGCCAACCGAACAGAGCCTCCTTCAGCTCGCCCAGGAGAGAGGCTTATTCGACATGGCTCAGCAGATACAGGAAGCCAACCAAAGGAAGCCATCCTCATTGGCCACGGCTGTCGAAGACAGCGAGTCCGGGCTGTCACCGAGCGTCGAGAGGATTCTCGACACATTGCTCTGGACAGTCAGCTTGTCCATGCTGCACTTCTCGCTCGACGTGCTGGTTCAGAGCCAGTACGCCGTCGAAATATCGTGGTGGCAGGTCTCTCAGCGTGCCGCCCAGGCATTCCTAGGTAGGCCGCGGCTCTTGTCAGGGGGGAACGCCCGATGCCACGTTTCGTCAAGGCTAACTCTTCCTGCTTCCAAGTCTTCAGCATGCTCTTCTACGTGCTACATGCCCACCCTTCTAACCCGACCATCCTCCCCGGCCTCGCTTCCCGCTTCCAACCTGCCTTTCGACAGGCAGTTTTCTTCGTCGCAGGCACATGCGCCGGGTGTTATCTTATACACATTAGCAACAGACATGGATATTTGGCAGTCATGAAGCAGTCTCCGCCCCTGGGCTGCATTTGGGTCTGGTCGGTCATCGAACTCAACTTGCCCCTGGCAGTCCTTAGCGTGGGGTCTGCGGCATTGTTCCTGTGGCAGGGAGAGTATGGTTTTAAGTAATAAGCAGCGCGTGGTTCTCTGTCACCGCGACCTCCGTCTCACTGTTGGCGTGCTCATCCTTCTGGACTCGTAGGGAGCTTTGGCGGCATTGCCACTGCTGGCCTGAAAGACGTAATCACTTGGCGGTTTTTGTGATTTCGACAATGCAGACGCTGCGTCTCCATCCAACGTCCTCCCGCTGACTCGGTCCCTGTGCATGATGCGACGCACTAGATCTTCAAGGCCACGGATCTCGGCCTGCTGGTCATAGATCATATCCTCCAACCGCTTCAAATTCTCCTCGGATCGGGCTTCTCGCCAACTGGCTTGGTGTTCTAGATCTCTGATGCGTCTGAAGAGGCCAGGTCAGAATCGGCGGACGGCACCAGCGATAGATAGGATAGGGTGGCGGGCTGATGCGGTGCTACATACGAGGAGATCATGCTCGTCTGTGTGAAGAGCACGCGGGCAGTGAGCGCGTCTCTCTGCCTCACCAGCTCCAGCGCCTTTGCCCGGACGGGTAACCACGCCATGGCAACAGTCGTCCTGGTTCTCGTCCACCCCCAACTCCGAGGAACGAGCGTCCATCTCGTCCCTGGGTTTTTCCCGTCGTCGCTTCCGGCGCGCTCCTCGGTCTCGGCCACCAGGTCCAAGAGGCGCTCCTCCAGCTTGACCAGGTCGTCCATGACGAAGGTGTACATCTGGTACTCGGTCGTCTGCCTGTACTGAGCAGCGCTCATGCCGAAACCCGGTCTGTCCATGTCTCCCGCAGCGCGCACGAGCTCGTTCATCCACGTCGTCTCGGTTTTGTACCATGACAGCGATGCCTTGACCTTGAAATACTCATCGTCACTATTGCGCAAGTAGGAAAGCCGCACGTACACGGCGGCGGCGACGGCGACTATGAATGTCAATATGCCGGCCACGTTGGCGGCAATGGACAGGGGAGAGTCCCCGTCTATCAATGCATCGGTCATGGTCGCGTGGCAGTTTCGCCGGCGCGTCTGCGCGGAGTCCCAGGATTTGGACAGACGCGTCGGAAATGGTGGATTTTTTTCTCTCTTTTTCTTCTTTTCCCCCTCCAATCTCAGCCCCAGCACATCATCGGTGTCACAACACCCGTTCCAGCCCAAGTCGACTTTTCATAAGCCCAGTTCGACCTCGAGGTTGCAAATGAAGGGCGGGATTTGCCGAGCTGAAGAGGTTGCACTACTGTACAGCACATGCCCATGTTCGTCTTCCCTTCAGCTTGCACCTGATCTGCGACCCTTCTTCACTGCTGAACAACCCCTGTCGTTCCAGGGTTGATGCCTCCTTGCCCATCCTTTTTTCTCTCGTGTTCGACCACGAGCCTGTTCGCAAATCCGCGAATTGGATTGCGAATTGCGCATCAGCTCCCTCCCCGTTCTTGCTTCGTTTTTTAATTTGGCCGATGCCCAGAAATTGTTGAAGCGGATGCGGTAGGAAGTAACCACTTGGGAGCGCCTACCTACCATTGCGATGCTGGTTAGCCGCACCTAGGTTGAGGATTCGCACATCATTACATTACATTACACCATGCTCTATCTCATTTGTCCCGCTCATGCGACCGCCGAAGAGCCGGTGTGCCTAGACAGCCTTACGGGCCCGCTGCTGGAAAATCCATGCTAACCAGGCTGTTTACGGTAGACTCCACCCATGTACTGTACAAGAGTGCGGCACCTACGATGCGTGCCTTCCTGTTTCCAACAGTCTGTACATGTATAGCAATAGTGGGCAGGAGCGATCAGCGGGAGACCGGACTCGAGGTCGTAGAGGTACCAGGTTAGGTCCATGTCAGTCGTGTCCCCGAAGCCACTCCATCTCCCAGGCCTGCCCTGAATGTAGGTACAGCTTCATCAACATCCATACCACCCCCTTTCCGAATCAATTGCCAGCCCATCACCACCATCATTATCCAGTACCCATTATTATCTGTTTCCTCTAGGGCTTCTCTTTATCAATCCTTCCTCGGTACTCCGCCATGGGAGCCGTACTTATTACTATCTTAATATTATGGCGACTCCTCGGTCTTGCCTCTGGAGCTGGAACTGGTGATCCTGCCCGTGAACTTCGCCGTCAACATCGGAGAGAATGGCCTCCTTTTCGTCGGCATATTTCCCAACGGCAAATTGGTGACATCCCATACGGTCAGTGCCCCTCAAACACCCACAAACACACAAGCAGCCACCATGCAAACCCGGGTCTCCTCCCGTTTTGCTACATTTGGTAACCAGTTTCCAGGGAACATAATCAACCATTGCAACGTCCCAGGGACGGTCGCGCTAACATTCGACGACGGTCCGTCCCCACACACCTCCCATGTCCTCGATATACTGGACAGACACGGAGCCAAAGCGACCTTCTTTGTCAACGGCGACAACTTCAGCCGTGGTCACATCGATGACCATTCGACTCCTTGGCCAGAGACGCTGCAGCGCATGCACCAGTCGGGTCATCAGATTGGATCTCACACCTGGTCACACGTCGATTTGACCGCCGTCAGCTCCTGGACACGTCAGCAAGAGATTTCCGACCTCGAACAAGCATTCGTTAACCTGTTCGGCTGGTATCCCGTCTACGTTCGCCCGCCGTATGGCTCATGCGAACACGAGTGTCAGGGGGACTTGGCCTGGATGGGTTACCACGTTGTGACGTGGGACATCGACACTAAAGACTACGCCAACGACTCGCCCGAGGCGATTTACATCGCCAAGGAAACCTTCTCCAATGCCCTGTCTATGGACCCATCGAGCAACTCGTACATTGCGCTCAGCCACGACGTGCACGTACAAACAGCCTACACCTTGACTGAATACATGCTCGATACGCTCGGAAGCCGCGGATACAGGGCCGTCACTGTCGGCGAATGTCTCGGTGATCCTGCCGAGAACTGGTACCGCAGCGACACGCCAGACGCGAGCGAGGAGACGGATTGGTGGAGATAGGCAGGGTTGTTCTAAAAGTATTAAAGCAAAGTCACCTCCGCCACCTCCACCAGTCTAGCAAGAGCCCGATTTAGTATATAATTCCATTCTACACTCTAAACTATTTCTCGCTCGCCATCCTGCATCTGATGTGCGGCGCTGATCGGTGAGCGAGACCGCACTGGGTTTGGCCCGTCTGGGAGTTCCAACTATGCTGCTGCTGATCAAGGGCATCCCCATCTAATGAATGACTCAGGTTTCATTCGGCTAGGTTATTTATGCCGGACTAAAGAACGCTACTACTAAGGTTGTCGCTGATTAATTGGAGTTCGCTGCTTAGGTATATCAAGAAAACCATCAAATCACCTATCCTAGACTTATCGCGGGCGGGTATCCACGATCCTGTCTATCAGTATCTCCGGCAGCCGCCTAACGAGTACTTCCTCCCCCCTGAGTATCGAAGCACTAGTATCCAGGAACCGGTCCCGAAAGACACCCCACAGCCTCTAGTCGAGGGCGTTCACACCCCCCGGCCGCGGATAGTAAGGGTCATTCCGCCAGAAACACGCCGCCGCCTGTCTCATGCCGTCCGGGTCCATGGCCATCTCCTGGCAAGAGTTAAAGTCCAGCAACCACAAGGCGTGGGGGCCGAGGACGGGCGAGTCGAAGAGCGTAGCGGTTCCGGGCCCAAACGGGGTACCACCATCGAGATCGACCGCGGATGGGTGCTGGGCCTCGGCCTGGGCCTGGGCCTGGGGCTGGCGACGCGGCCGTGGAGGCGCCAGGACGAATTCCACGCCGTCGGCGTCGACTCTGGCGCACCAGTGGAGGAAGGCGAGGGCGTCGGCCATCGCCGTGGCATAGCCTTCCAGGTCCAGGTCGAGCTCTGCCAACAGGTTTTGGTGGAGTGGGAACTTCCGCAGGTTGAAGACGCGGAATCTCGGCTGTCCGTGCTGGGATGACCTGCGTCGGCGTCGGCCGAGGTAAGGGCGAACCAGGCAGTGTGTGTTCCTCACCGCGTCTTGGTCGTGGTTCTGGTAGTATTGCTGCATGAGCAGGCTGCGGGCGGAGAGTGGCAAGGGACGGATCTTCTCGTTGATCAGGGCGTTGCATGCCGCGGAATTTGGGGGCAGACGGGGGAGGATCTCGGACCAGGCTATGTTGTCTTTGTCGAGAAATTCGTGACATGAAGGGATGCTGAAGCTATTGATGACCAGTGGGTGCATATTCTGGGAGGCTTGCACCAGGCGCCTGTAGACCTGATATTCGATCGCAACCGGGTGGCCCAAATCCCCCCCCTCTTCCCGCTTCATGACAAGCCTAGCAATGTCGTCACCCGCGGGCCCGGGATCGGCCCAGACGGTTCCGCACTCGCCCCTGCCGATGCATTCCAGCTGGGTCGAGGAGGTGGCGGTGGTGAGTTCGGTCTTGTCAATGTTCATGGTTGCGAAGAGTCTCGGCAGATCACTTGGGCCAGAAAATTAGAAACTTCGGAAGACTGCTTTGCTAGGACTGTGGAAGTGATGTGGAAATGCTGATCCCTGGTGCCTAGGTGGGCATATAAGCCTCTCATAAGTCTCGGAACGTACCTGCCTAGCTAGGTAGCCTCGACCGAGGTAAATACCTACCAAGCTACCTACCTAGGTAGGTACCTAGGGTTAGATAATGAGGGGAAAACATTTGATAGCATGGGAGGCGATCATTCAAGGTATGTACTCCGTACTAGGTGCGCAAGGAAACTCTGGGTTCCATTAGGTAACTACCTAGCTCAGGTTCCATGATGATGCTGGGGGAGCCTGGAGAAGACGGCCCAAAGGGCAAGCAACAACCAACTGGAGAGCACAGTCAGGCCTCCAGTGTGTATCAACTTTGCAGTAGCTTGTCGACTGCATTTGATCCGCCGCTACTCAACGGTCCATCCAATGGCCCATTTCCTCGCGTGTAAGTTCGCACCAGACAAACTCATCGTCAGGAGATCGCTGAAAGATGATGGGGAAGAGCCCTTCAAACTCAATGGGGTACCTCATCCCAACACAGGGGTATGCTGCCACCGATCTCGTGATCAGGGCCCCGGCATCAATTAGCATGTCGACAATAATGTGGTTGTCTTGCGCTGCCGCAAGGTGCAATGGCGTCCTCTGATAAGTGTCACGCCCGTTGAGATAAGCTGTCGGATGATCAATCAGCAGCTTGGCAACCGATACAGATCCGTGTTCTGCTGCAAAGTGCAACGGCGTCTGCGCCCGGGTGTCTTCTCGGTTGACATCAGCTCCCGCGTCGATAAGCATCTGAGCCACCTTTTTACTTCCTCCCGCTGCGGCGTGGTGGAGGGCACCGTGCCCAGGGTTGCTCTGCCGGTCAACAGAAGCACCCGAATCCAGAAGGAACTGGACCATGCTTGGGCTGCCGTCCCTTGCAGCAAAGTCTAGTGGCGCCATGTCCCAGATATCGGAGTACCTGCTGTGATAGTAAGACAGGTCGTAATGACTAGCACAAATGCTGTAGTCAGCACTGGCGTCGATATCAGCCCCAGCTTCAATCAACAGCTTAGCCACGCCCGTGTCCCAGTTCTTGATAGCCAGGTGCAATGGTGTCATTCTGCCCCTATCGGTTGCGTTGACATCTGCACCTCTCTCGACAAGCAGTTCCACTATGTCTTTATGCTCTCGATCTGTGGCTTGGTGCAGCGCTGTCTTTTCAAACTTATCCGCTTGGGCCACCTCTGCTCCATGGTCCAACAGTCGTCCAACGAAGCTGGTCCGCCCTTCCATTGCTGCCCAGGTAAGGGGAGTCGACCCGTCCGAGTATCTGTGGATCGTTGTTGCAATCGAGAGCAGCATGGGAGACAAAAGCTGGTTGAAATGCTGCGATGTTGCCGATAGTGAAGCTACATCGTGGAGACAAAGAGAGTCTGTAACGAGCATGAGCACTTCGTTGGGTATATTCTGAATGAAGCAACTGCGATTCTGCTCCATTGCCGAAATGTTCTCTTGGTGTGCTTGTGTGATCGATTTTACTCCCGATGCATGGTGTTTGTGATAGGGTTGGGGTTTTCGTGATGATGTCGGGGTTCTGTGAGGTCGATTTGTTCCTTTGACGCGTTGGCAAGAATCGATTCTATCTGGTAGGATGGTCTGACCTGGATTCACCTACAAAGCTACCTAGGTACCTAGGTTAGGTACCTTAGGTATGGAGTCACCACTGCCCTATCAACCTGACCTTCCTTCACTACCAGGTACGGCTACCTACCTAAGGTACCTACCTAAGATGCCTACACTCCAATTTACCTAGAGGTACCTAAGTTCCCCCTAATGCGATGGGCCTACCTACAGTTTGCTACCAGCTTTACTTCCATCCTAGCAGCGATAACGATGAAATACTTTGAGGACTCTAGCTGCATACAGACTGTGGACGTGGGCTGGGCTTGCCACAGCCACCAGCTACTTATGCCTACAGGCGTATTTCGCATTTGCTACCCAGGGAATACGGCAAGATGGACGAATACGCCGGTGCGGGCAGCTTCCTGCATAGACAACGGAGATATATCACCTGGATGTTACCGCACCCCCTCCACGAAAAGGATTTATAGATCGCTTTCTCTGGCTGCTGCGTCCTCCACCTGCGCCGCTGTCTAGAATGATCAAGTCTTTGCGTCCAGAATTCTTCCTTCCGTCGAACATTGGGCTTACGAGGCAGAAAGTAGGGTGGGACGACGAGCCGAACAACGAAGAGGACATTTATCAAGCCCTAGCTCCGCTTCAGAGAACAGTCGTCCCTATATCCTATGGCGGGGTCAAGTTCACCAGGACGGAGACAACGAGAACACGGGCGCTCGAGGTCTTGCCCATGTGGGGAGAACCTGAGGGTGTTGTTGTCCTTATCCTTGCTCGCGAGGAGGCTACTGTGACTGGGATTTTCGTCAGTATTTGGTTCAACCTCAATATCCAGCTTCGACAACATCGTCCAGGCCTTAATTGCAACACGTCCTAGGTTAGCAAATACCCCAGAGAGGCGAACAGCAGGCTCTCAGATGGTTTTTTATGCAAATCTGGTCTCATCAGCAAACAATCTCGCCACATATAATTTAATTACCTACCTGGCAGCAGTTTAGCAAAGCAGCCTTGATAATCAAAGCTACTAAAGGTTGCTAGCTGTTTTCAAGAACGTGAAATTTCGTATTGAGGTCTGTTATGAGACTTTGAGAGACAGACTGGATCTGTTTCCTCAAGGAGATGCGGCGCGAACCAGCCAAAAAAAAAAAGGAAGGAAAAGGGAAAAAAAACAGGGATGGAACCTGTGAGGATCGAACTCACGACCTCAGGATTACTCCGATCTGTGACCGAATCATAGGATAGTATGAGACCTGCGCGCTAACCAGCTGCGCCAAGGTTCCGTCTATTAGTCAAGCGAGCTTAATCCGCTATATCTTCAGGTCAGGTGTGAGTCCCTCATCTCCAATTTTCTCGACGTTGACGCTAACAAGCAAAGGACGATCTAGATAAAAATAAAAGCGGTACCGTGATTCCATTCTAGCTTCACAGCCTTATCAAGTGCATCATGTATAGGGGTATACTAATTTGCGAGAGGAGTGTCGGTCCTAGTCAATGTCTTGGTTCCAGGAGTACTACTGCTGGGGTTTTAAACCATGTCTTCAGCCCCTTTCCCTCTCAGCACGTGTAACGCGGCAATTATCCCTGAGATGCTCATCGCTCATGCTTCTGTGTGTGATATCTCGAGTTCAGCTGCATGCTTACGACAAATCTCTCTTAGCCAATGACCTGTTCGTCTTGGAGACTTGTTGCCTCGGGATTGGTGCAATCTGTTGCTAGCCCCCAAGGTGGCTGCAGCTTCTTTGCGTCAGTGGCCACACACAAGATGCACTTCTGCTCAAGACACCGCTGAAGGATGGTCATTATATGCTGACTGAGGCCTACATGCGTCTTCAGCCTCATCCTATTCTGGCCACTACGTCGTACAACGTCACAAAATACAATAATGCCTCTCCCCTCACCCTTCTTTTGACACAGCCTCACAGTCGACAGAATCCGTGTCTGCTTTTCATACTGATCCCCCCTTTTCTGTTTTCCCCTGCTAGTATTCGGCGTCTCATAGCGGCGTTGTTATTCGTCCTCCAGTCATTAAATACTTCCTTGTTCCTTGGTCGTGCCCAGTGAAGCAACGCAGCAGCCCGACCACTGAGCTTGGAGGATGGACCAAGAAATAAGAGTTACGCAAGACAGAGACTCCCCCTCCAATATTGAGGACAGCCCGCCAGCCGGACCCACACCAGACGAGCCATACCCAGCCAACGCTAAACAAGCCGCCCGAGCAGAAATCCACGACGCAGAAGTAAAGGTCTTCGAGACAAGTCGCTTCGCGGAGAAAGAGGACCTCTGGCAGTGGTTCCCGCAGCTCAAGGACGACCCCAATTCCAAGGAATGGCGGATCTGGCTTTCTCGCCGGAGCCGTGCGCTGATGGTGCAGATCATCGTCATCTTGGCCATCCTGCTTAGCAACTTCGGGCTGACCGTCTTCGCGGCGAGCCAGTTCAACACCCAGCGCGGAGTCGGGCTCATCTACCAGGGCGACTGTGCCACCGTCGGCAAGCTCAACCTGTGGCTGCACCTGCTCATCAACCTGCTCTCCACGGGGATGCTGTCGGCCTCCAACTACTGCATGCAGCTCCAGGCGGCGCCCACGCGGGCGAACGTCAACGATGCGCACACGGCCGGCAAGTGGCTCGACATTGGCGTCCCTAGCTTGCGCAACCTGCTCCACATCAACGGGTGGAGGAAGGTGTCGTGGGCCTTGCTGGCTTTTAGCTCGATTCCGATTCATCTAATGTAGGTAAACGGGGAGAGAGCATTATTCGAATGCCTACCTTGACTCATTAACCCCGTTCATAAACTGACTGACTCGGTTGGGGGGCGGTTTCGCAAGATATAATTCCGCCGTGTTCCAGTCGTTGTCCTCGTTCGACTACACCGTTGCTGTGGTCAAGGACTCGTTTCTTGACGGAGCTGATTTTAGCCTTTCAACGGCCGAGATCAACAGGGGCGCCGATCCGGGATGGAATGAAAGTAGAGTTAACCCGCCGGACGACTACGCCAAGATCATCTCGGACATGCGACGAGACGCTCTGTCGATGCCGTATCTCAAAAAGACCGTTTCCGAGTGCTTCGATTTGTACGACGACTACTTCGCGCCCCAGGGCAACGTCCTGATCTTTGTCAAGAACCAAACCGTCCAGACGCCCCCCGAAGATAGCCTGCTGATGTATGTCTCCATCATCCCGCGATCGGACGGATGGGGCAAGAACATGTGGGCTCTGGGCAACGGCACGGGCTCCTTTGTGGCCCTCTCCCCTCCAAAACCCGTCACGAAATGGTTCCTGGGCCCACCGCACTACGAAGTGAGCCGCTGCCTCGTCCAGCCGCCGGCCCTCCTAGCGACACAGTGCCGGTTCGAGTACTCGCCCTGGATCATGTGGGTCGTGTGCTCGCTCAACCTCATCAAAGCCCTGGTGATGCTGTTCATCTGGGCGTTTCGCAGGTGGCAGGCCAAGGCCCTGGGGGATGAGAAGAAGGAAGTGCTGTACACGCTCGGAGACGCCATCTCGTCCTTCATGCGGGTCCCGGACGAAAGGACCCAGAACATGTGTCTGGCCACCAAGCATGACTTCACCACAAAACGCACCTGGCGCAATCGGCTGGTCAAGGAGCCGGTATCGACCTCCCAGGAGCCAAGAGAGTTCAAAATCGAGTCGAAACGGTGGATGGCTGCTGCGAGTTTGAGACGGTGGATAGTTCTTATTTCCATGTAAGGGGAAACATGTCAATTCTTGATACCAACAACCGGGGTTCATAGTCTAACTAACATGCAACAAACAAACAGGTTCCTGGCCGTGATAGGCGTCTCGGCAGGCCTGCTCTTCCAATCCTTCCCCAGCCTCCGCCGCCGCAATGTCAAGACGACCCTCTCCCAGTTCTGGAAAATGGGGTTCGGGAAGCTGCAGCCGTACGCGTACCTGGTCATCGGCCTGCCCAGGGCCGACCCGGAGGGCTTCCTGGCGAACGTGGTCGTGTCCAACCTGCCTCAGCTGATCCTGTCGATACTTTACATTTTCTACAACTCCATGCTCAGCACCTTCCTCGTCCAGCGCGAGTTCAGCCGCATGTGCGACCCCCGAAAGAGAAAGCCCCTGCGCGTCTCGGAGCCGATCGGGCTCCAGCGCTCCAGCTACTTCATCTCCTTGCCGCTGCGCTATGGCATCCCGCTGTACCTGTCCTCCGGCCTTATGCACTGGCTCATCTCCCAGAGTCTGTTCCTCGCCCGCATCACGGCCCTGCGTCCGAGCGGTGCTGCTGATCCCAAAAACTCCTTCTCTACGTGTGGTTATAGCCCCATTGCAATATTTATCAGTTGAGTTTCCTTTCCTTTGGCACCTCCTCCGATACCCTTTTTTATCGCTGTCGTTTGAGGAAACGTCTAACGTCCTTAATTATCTCATCAGCATTACTCGTGGGACTCGTCCTAGTACTAGCCATCGTCCTCATTGGCTTTCGCACCTACGACGGTACCATGCGGATGGTCTCGACCAACAGCCGAGCTATCGGCGCTGCTTGCCACTCTCCCGAGAAGGATCGAGAAAACGGGTACATGCTGCCCGTCCGCTGGGGTTGCGTGGAAATGACGGCAGACGGCGTTGGGAAGTGCGCCTTCACCACTGCGCCCGATGAGGAGATACAGGAGCCAGTTCCAAAGAAGAAGTACCGATGAGTCGAGACAAACTCTTCCCCGTGGTGATGCGGGAAATAGACCTAGATTTCTCAGTTGACCAGCTGATGAACAGTTACGTGGCTTTGTTGCATGATCTCCAGATGTTTTGGCCTGATTACAGGTTTTCCAGAATTCGACCGTACGTGGTGTTGTCATCGCGAAGATAATTAATCCAATGGCCATTTGTTTCATCTTGGTTGCATGTGCACTAGCCGATGCTTAAGTATTTGGTGACTTCAGCGTCAACGCCTCAGACACTAGTCCCGAGGGCGTCTCGCGTTTCTGTCAGACAACTCCCCACCAAGTATTACAATTACAAGCCTGGCCAACTTGAAGATTCCTGCACGGTTTCAGCTTCGCAGCTCCACGATGGAACTTGTGGTTGTTCGATCGATCCAATTTGAAATTCTAACTCCTTATGTAGAATGGATACAAGCATTAGGAGCAAAGCGACCTGGAAATAGTGTGGGACGTTCGATGATTGACACGAGTTGTACCGCCAGCCCATAGTGCAAGTTCCCCTTAAGCTTACACATAGCTTGGCTATCTAGTTCAGAACCTTGATGGTCTAGACACAGTCGCGCGATCATAACTTAGGTGGGTACGTGGCGTATAATTAATGCCAAAGTATCGTTATTATCTGATCCTCCTAGCCTCCATATCAACCCCGTAAACTAAGACGAGTATATCTACTTACATTCCCAGCTCCGCTCATGGCTTTCACAACCCTTCCCATTGTACCTTGCCTTCTTGGGATACGGACATACCGGCCTCTGGCGTAGGACACCCGACGTCGCGTTAAAGGGGCTACGCCACGTGGTAGCGACAATCCTGTCGACAGGCTTGCCCTTCTCAACCCAGTCGATGAGCGCGAGGACGGCGTCGTGCTCGGCGTCGCGGAAGCCGGGGACGGACCACGCGTTGGCGGCCATGGAGCTGGTCTGGAAGGCCGCGCCGATATTCCACGGCGCGTCGACGGTCGTGCCGGCGCAGTGCTGCATGCCCGGGATCTGGAAGAAGCGGAACCAGGAGTCGACGTTGCCCATGGCCGCGACCGTCTGGCTGTGGTAGTAGATGGAGCCCCGTTCCGCCACCAGCCCGTCCGCCAGCCCGTGGTACATGAGCAGCTTGCCGCCGCGGTCGCGGAAGCGGCGGATGTCGTACTGCGCCGCTGTCGAGTTGCCAGGGTCGTGCCGCACTGCATACGCCATCACGCTGTCGTTGTACTCCTGCCACGGCCAGCTGGGGTCGTCGAATAGAAAGTCTTGCACATACTGCACGCCAAAGGGGCTCGGCACGTCGCTGCCCAGCAGGATGAACCACTGGTCCTCAGAGCTGAGCGTCAGACCTGTGTAGATGAACTCTCCGGTGTCGGTGTAGGAGTCGCTGTATATCTTCTTGGCGGTTTCAATCTGCTGGTCTGTGAGGCAGTTCGGACTCTTTGTTTGGTCTGGGCATTTGATCTTGTCGAAGTCGAACTTGCAGGCTTCCGGTTCGCTGACAATACCATCCTTCACGCCATCCACCTCGTCGCATTGCTCCACGACTTGCTTCCCGATCCATGAAAACTGCTCGACTGGGATATGGTGGTCGGCACCAACCGGCAGGTTGTAGGCGCCAAACTTGACGACGAAAGGGTTGATGTGGCTGGTGTACCACGAGGGGGCGCCAATAAGGGCTCCGTCGAAGCTGCCGGGGGAGATCTGCACCTCCTTGAGCCCCTGCCGGCCGCCGGTCGAGCAGCCGCTATAGTACGAGTACTTGATCGGCTTTCCGTAGAAAGCCTCGGTCAGCTTCTTTCCGAGCTCGACAGAGCCATGCAGCGCGCGCCAGCCCCAGTCGGTCTTCTTCTCGGGCTGCTTGTTCGCCCACGTAATGTCGGCCGTGGTGGAGTTATGGCCCGTATCTGTTGAGATGGTTGCCATGCCGTAATGGGGGCCGGGCGCCATATCGAGCCAGTTGATGCCTGAGAGTGTCATTAGATCGCCGTGCCTGCCTGTGTTTGTCTCATTGGCCAGAGAGGAAGCCTACCGCCGCCAAACCCGCCATTTCCTACGGCAAAAAACCTCTCCTTCCATTGGTGGGGTTCCATGGGGAGAAACAGTCCGAACCGGTAGGATGAGCTGGGAGAAGACGTCACCCTGACTGTCAAGGCGCACAGCTCGGTTAGGTTGGTCGGGTTCACCGGATATAAGAGATTCGACGCGCCCTCGCCAAAGCTGCCGCCTTTGGGGACGAAGGTGACGTTGGTGATCTCGGCGCCGGAGCGAACAAGGGCGCGCTGGAACGTGGCGGCGTTGCACTTGGCCGAGTTTCGCGGTGCCCAAGCCAGATTGGCGTCGACGAAGCGGGCGGCCAGGGCAAGCAATGCCCAGACCACAGGTAAGGCAAGACAAACCATGAGGGGCAGTCGTTCAATAGTAGAACCATTAAGGAGATTGGCAGCTCTCGTCCCGGGGCCTGCAGAATGTTAAATACATCGAACAATACCAGGGGGCTCCCGAGTTCCGATGGCTCGGCACCTCACCTGCAGTTTGGGTCGCTCCCCTCCCACGCGAGTGGCCGTCATCCTTACCCATTGCCTTCGCAGGCAGCTCGGGCCCGCCCATCTTGCGGCGATGCGGCGCCATTATCTTGCCTTACTCGTACGCAGGTAGATGGTCCATGACTTCATCCCACGCGGGGTTATTTCCTGGGGGAGTTGCTACTTTAGGAAGGAGCTACGCGCGGCACAGGGCAGAGGGTGTGGGACTTGCGAGCTGCCAATGTGCCAATATTGTAACCCTCTGGGGTTCGACAGGCCACTGACTGGGTGACTGCGGATGCGGGGTTGGGAGAATGGTGAGAAAAAAAGAGGTTTGCCGTGACGTCGATGCTGGCAAGCCGGCTCTCAGATCTCGTGACCGGCACCGTTGTTGCCGCCCTTGCTTGGCGACCCGAGCCGGTCAGAGAGCCGTGAAACGTTGGGTCGCACTGCGCTTGGGCGCTCAAGGTAGCGTAGCGGACGGAACGGAATCTTGGGGACAGTTAACAACACAGTCCTCTCGCTCCAGTATATCCAAAACCACTTACTTCCTGTTCTCGGAAGGTAGACAAACACACGAAGATGTCGGCAATATTAGGATGGGGCTAGCGCTGAAGTTGGAATGTGTTCAGCCTCTTCATTAATTTCCTGTCACCTGGGACGTTACTGTGTGTGTGCAGTATTTATTTGTCCCGGTTTTGGAAGGCCTGTTAATTAAAGTCATATAAAACAAGCCACGGGATTGTGGGGTTAATCGCTAAAGCTAAATATAGAAGCAGATCCAGCAACTTGGTTGCTAACATCCAGTAATTATACGCAGTAGTTCTCCGTCTCTTACCAAAGCCAATTACAGCTGCCATAATCTCTCCGAGCCGGCAGAGCGTCGGCTGTGGCAGGTTGTGCTCATTCATCGTCCCAAGGTGCAATCTCAAGCGAGACCCGCCGTTCCCGGGTCGCCTGGCCGCCGGGTATCGTGGGCGGCTGGCTTTCAGCCAGCCCCGAGGTGACCTTGCCTCGCGCTTCTTGCTCGGATTGCTGTCCAGATCGGTCCCCCGGCCCTTGGACCACTTTAGCACTGGTGACAGCAGTGGGGGCCGCACTCAGAGTCTGAGGGTCTCTGTCTGAGCTGCCGCGTCAGTCTCGGCATGGATGGAGGGTCGGGAATCCGGCTGAGCCATTGGCGTGTTTGAAAATACGAAGGATCGGAATGGCGGTATCTGGGACTCGTCGCTCGTACGTTCGCCAGCCGTATCGCACACAACGCTGGTCTGAACCAGGGCAACATTCGGCGGTGGCGAAACCATTTGCATCCACAGAATAGGGACGCCATCGAGAAACTGGCGAGTCACCTGCATCACCGGTTCGAAAGTGTAATGCAGCATTCTCGGGAGATATAAAGTTGCTTTCGAGACCATCAATTGCCAGAGTGTCCAGCACTTGCTGAAACGATCTTCGAGGATAACAATGATTAAGGTTGTATGCGTCGTCCGGCGAACATCATTCGCAGTCAGGGAGAAATCGAAGACCCCAGGCGAGGTCGCCACCTTGTAACCTTGCCCTCAACATAGGGCAATGCAAGGAGAAAATCGCTTCCGAGGAGTGTCAATTCGTCTGCGGGAATGTCGAAGGAGCCATCGTGTTGCTGAAAAGGTAGGAGGTGTCGAACGAATGCCTCCATTGTGTGCTGCACTTCCGACTTGCGTCCAACGACTGTGGCGTCGAGCATTGCCGTTGAGGCGGGGAGGTTGGAGACTGGTGCCTGCATAGCCATCTTTGACTTCGTCAAGTCCCATTCATCCATCGATAAGGCAGACTTGGCAAACTGCTTGTGGGAAGGATAACGGTCTTTTCTCCTCCTCTTCCTCTCTCTACTCCTCTGCCTCTCTGTCTCATGTAATTGCACAATTCGACGAACTCTGCATCGTCGTCGAACTTCCGAGACGCTTTGCTGCCTACAGATTTGAGCGGGGACCATTGCAATGCACTCGATGACAACTTCCGCTGATTCGGATAGCTTGATATGCCGGGCCAATTCGTCGTGTCAATTATGATATTGTCCTTCATCGTATGGCTGTCTTCCTTGGGTTGGGGTTGAAAGAAGGGGGTAAAGGTAGAGGAGAAGCACCATTCATTTTGAAGGTTGAGGCACGCAGAATTGCCGGGAACGTCTCTCGCCATCGCCCCGCTATCTCGGTCGTCGCTAGGATCTTGCTCTTCGCTTCGGTCCTGCTCCTCATTCCGGTTCTGCTCGTCGCTTGGACCTTGGTCTTCATAGTTGTCGCCAGCACCATGGTTCCCTCTACCGTCGCCATCGTCGTTACTTCCATCGTCATCGTCATCGTCATCGCCATCATGGTGGTCTCGGCCTTTTTCAACCCCTTCGTCGTCGCTCGAACTGGATTCAGCACTGGCCGTGTCGTCGGCCTCCTCTGCACCCACCATATTTGTAGCGTCGCCTTGCTGGCGCATGCGAGGACGCAAGAGGTCGAGTTCGCCTTGGTCGATGAGCTCGATGTCGGCGGTTACATCCATAAAGGGGTCCTGCCGGGCTTCCTCGAGCTCGAAGGGCTCTTCAACAGCGAAAAAACTGGTCCACTTGGACACGAGGGAGTATTTGCAGCCGATCCGCTTGCCCTCCGCTTTGGCCATGACCCGTTCCTGTTTGGAGTGGCGTGGAAGTGCATTGGGGCCGAGATGAATGGCGCTCTCCCCGCGCTCCACATCACCCAGTACGGCCCTAGCGGCGAGTTTGTGGATGGTGGAATCTGGGACGCCGAGGACCCTGATAGGGACCGACACGATGAGATCTTCGCCACCAGGTCTTGTGACTTTCACGTGGAGACTGTTGAGAACCACAGTTGCTGGCAAGGACTCGTAGAGCATGAGAACGCGGCTGCAGACGAACGGGCTAATAGTTGAGACATCCGCCGGAGAACGCATCATCTGTCGATGTGGGGGAAGATTGTTGCCAGTAGCCTGGTTGGGTCCGTCTGATGACCCGTTAGCGGTTGTCTGCCTTACTCTCGGTCGCAGTGCGGAGCTTTGAGGACTGTGCAACTCACCGGGTCCCCTGGCCTGTCCTAGTTCTTCTCTCTCGACCATTTCAACACCGATAGTGCCGACGTGACTCGTCAAGGCGGCTTTGAGCACCGCAACGACTCGGGATTCCCAGCCCCCTTCGCTCGGCAGTGGGATGACCTCGGCGTAGCCTCCGCCGAGCTTGGCAATCCCTTCGATGAGCGCATGCGACACCGCAGCTCCAATTCCGAGGCAAAAGAAGCGGACCCGGTTCTCACTGTGCCTCCTTGTCTGTTCCACGAAGTCGAGGGTTTCCTCAAAGTCCCAGACCTCCCCATCTGTGAGAGTCACAATGTTGGTGGTCGTGTTGGTGTCTCTGGCGGCCACGATGGCCTTGAGGGCTGGCAGCAGTCGTGTCCCGCCCATGTCCGCCCTAAACCTTGAGCCTACATAGTCAAGCGCCCCCTGCAGGTTGTCGCCGTTGTATAGGCTCGACGTTTCCCAAAGACGGCATGGCTCATCGCCGAAAGACCAGATCCGGCGATCGTCGTCAGTGGATGGGGTGCCTTTCAAGAAGAACTCCATGGCAGACTTTAAAGCGTCAATTTTGTCTTCCATGGACCCCGATCGATCGGCCAGGAAGACGATCTCGCCACCGCTGTCTGTGTTGCCCGCGTCATCCGTGTTGGCTGAGGTCTGGGCCCCCATCATCAAATCAGGGGTGAGGGTAACCATTACGGCTCGGTGGCTCGGCAGTTCAGGGTGCGTTTCGACGCAAGCGAAAGGTTTCTCCTTGCTGGCGGCAGGTCGGGTGCAGATGTCCAGCACGAAGTCTTGCTCCAGGCATGTGACAGTCTCACGCAGCTGGACCAAGGCCGATTTGGGATCCTCCCTCTGGCCAGACTGGAGAAACTCTCGCCAGCTTTGGCAGGCTCTCCGGGCCACACCCATGTCGATGGTGACATCGTGGGTGCTAAACTGATCGACTCGATCGGGTCTCCAGCGAGAACATCGACCTCAGCAACCAAGCTGCGGAGGCTTGTTGACACGCTCATAGCTCGCGAAAGTCATCGCGGCAGGTTGCCGAACCGCGGTGCAATGTAGGTAGGGAGTGTGTGAAGATGGTGACTCCGTGGCCGTCTTCGAAACGGTACTTCAACAGGTAGGTAGTATAGCATTACTGTATTATTTCTAATAAGTGCACAACCTGCAAATGAAAATACTAATTGTATATTTTGAAGTTTTCCTTGACTTATAAGATTGATACCAATTTGTAGCATATAAAGACAGTTTTGTAATAGCATCTTTTCTTTGCTGTCTGTAAATTCGATATATACATTTCCATACCTTGTAATTTCTAGAGTTTTAGCCCTACCCCAACTAACCATAGTCTTACACTCCTAAATCGTCCAAAATAGTAATTTATCACTTATAACGTAAGCTTTTACAGCAGTGTCTATTAAAAAATTAGCTTTGTATATAGTATTTAACTTAGTTGTTAATACCTAGACTTACTTAGTATTGCAAGCTTTGATTTTTTTGATCTAGTCGCTTGAAGAGGCTAGTTTATTGTCAGTTAATATTGACTAAAGTTAAAGGGGTATATTATTAGTAATATACACCTGTATTTGCTTTTCTAAATATTTAGAAAGCAATTGTTCTATATCAACATTGCCAAATAAATCAACTCTATTAGGTTGTTCAAAGTTTATTAAGTCGCCTTCCTGACTGCCTTAGCTACTACCCTAGCTTTAAGGTGGGGTAGGTGGATTTTCTAGTCTAGTAAAGACTAGCGCTACAACCTTTGATTTTTTGTGAAGGTTAAGGGTATTTTCTTTCTTTTTTTGGAAAGCAAGGTTCTTGCAAACTAAAAGATTATAGTTAGAATCCCAACCTTCAAAAGCTTTTTCAAGGAATAGATAGAAGTACCTAGTGGTATTATAAGTAGCTACTTTACAGTAGTTACACTAAGCTCTCTTTGTAGATTTCTACGCAGTCTTTTTGAATCCTTGGTTAGATCTATTTTTCTAGCTACCTTTGTAAAGTTTATTAACCTTGTAAGGTAATTTCGACTGCTTTACTACTATTAATTTAGTAGTAAATTGTTTATTGTCTGCTAGTCTATGCAATTTATCAAGCAGACTATTACACAATATAGTCAAAGTGTAAGCTTTAATGTCTTTACATAAGGCTTGCGTGATTTGCCACAAATCCTTTGTATCAGTTAGTCAAAGCATTTAGAATCTAACTAAAGATATACACTTGTCATTGAATTTCCAGCTCTTTTGCTATAATTTAGTCACTAGCTCTTTGGCTTCGGTAATAAATGCGTCTATACTGGCAAAGTCTGCCAGTTCAATTCGCAAGAATTCCTTAAATATAAAGATTACTTGATAATCTAACTTCAAACCTATATATTAAGGTAACCACAATAGTGATGACTAAGAGGTTTGCTGATTAAGCATCACATATGACTTATTTATAAGCCTACAAAGTAGCTAAGTCACGTGATGAATCCTTACCTTATAATTGGCATTTAAAGTCCAAAGGACTTTCCTGCCAAAGGCAACCCTAACCTTAAGGACAGGGTAGCCCTGCAAGTCCAGGGTAGCCCTGCAAGTCCAGGGTAGCCCGGCAAGTCCAGGGTAGCCCGGCAAGTCCAGGGTAGCCTTGCAAGTACAGGGTAGGTGCAGAAAATCAAACCACCTAAAACCTTCAAACCCTGTCAAACCACTTGGTACGTATCACCACCTTGTAAGTGTGTGATCCACGTATTACTACTGATTCAAACAATCGGATCCTACGGACCCGGTCTAATCAGCCAATCCGAGGTATCAAGTTGTTTGATCTAGTAGATCAAGTAAAGCAAGAAGACTGAATTTCTACTATATAGTCAGCTAGACTAGCCGCTTGACTTTGGAAAAATAATCATCATCAACCATAAAATACAACCAGTCTTCTGCACCTTACTTGCCTACCTTACTTCCTCCCTTTCTACTGCTTACAGCAGTACTTTCACTAGTTGAATACTTTGCTTCCACAACCTACCTCTTTGGTCACAACCTAACCTTTTGAGGTTATGAGCCCGGATTGCTCAATCTCTTTCAACTAGTCAACCTACACACCTTCCAACTTCAACCTTGATTATTAAGGCAACCACTGGTTTGGTTTCTTTCCTGTCACGTGATTTCTACTAATAACCTCATCCTTTTTCACGTGGTATTTTCTGTTTCCTTCCAAAGTAACTGGTTCACACACAATACACAAAAATCATCCTTTTTACAACACAATCTTGTCTTTCTAACTGAATTTTTCACTTGATTTCTACCATTTCACTTGAATTTTCACTCAAAATGGACAGCAAAATCACTATTCCTCTCCTTACTGGCGCAGCCAACTACCCTACTTGGTCGATTCATGTGCCAGTTGCCTTAGAAATGAAGGATCTGGATCACTGCCTGTATAAAACCCCTGATTCTGAGGAAGGAGGTGACTTTAAAGTCCCTACTGCAAAAGAAAACAAGCAAGCTGCAGGACTTCTGAAGCTTTTGTGTGGAAAAGAACCACTTGAACATATCAAGCACTTGAAAGAAGCTAAAGCTGTATGGGATACCCTGCAGCAGGCTTACAAGCCGGAAGGTTTTACTACCAACCACTTGTTATTCAAGGAATTCTTGCGAATTCAACTGGCAGATTTTGCCAGTATGGACGCATTTATCACCAAAGCCAAAGAGCTGGTGACTGAATTACACCAAAAAGGGTGGAAATTCAATGATGAGTGTATCCTTAGTTGGATTTTAAATGCCTTGACTGATCGATACGAAGGATTCGTGGCAAATATCACGCAAGCCTTACGTAAAGACATCAAAGCTTACACTTTGACTACGTTGTGTAATAGTCTGCTTGATGAATCACGTAGACTAGCAGACAATGAAGGATCTACTACCAAAGTAATAGTAGTAAGGCAGTCAAAATTACCTTACAAGGTTAATAAACCTTACAAAGGTAGTCAGAAAAATGGATCTAATCAAGGATTTAAAAAGGCAGCGTGGAAATCCACAAAAGGGGCTTGGTGTAACCACTGTAAAGTGGCTACTTATAATACCACTAGGTGCTTCTACCTATTCCCTGAAAAAGCTCCCGAAGGTTGGGACTCAAATCGGGACCCTTCAATACGCGGGAATCCTGCCTTCTAAAAAAGGGAAGAAAATACCCTCAACCTTCACAAAAAATCAACGGTGGTGGCGCCAGTCCTTACTAGCCCAGAAAATCCACCTACCCCACCTCAAAGCCAGGGCAGTAGCCAGGGCAGTAGCCAAGGCAGTAGCCAGGGCAGTAGCCAAGGCAGTCAAGAAGGCGACCCAATGGACTTTGAACAACCTGACAGAGTTGATTTATTTGGCGACGTTGATATGGAACAACTGCTTTCTGAATATTCAGAAAAGCAAATACAAGTGTGTATTACAAATAATATACCCCCTCAACTTCAGTCAATATTGACTGACAATAAGCTAGCCAATCTAAGCGACTAGATTAAAAAGATCAAAGCTTGTAATACCAAGCAGGTCCAGGTATTAACAACCAAGTCAAATTCTATATACAAAGCTAACTTTGTAATAGACACTGCTGCAGAAGCTCACATTATAAGTGATAAATCACTATTTTAGACCATGCAAGAGTGTAAGACTACGGTTAGTTGGGGCGGGGCAAAAACCCTAGAAATTACAGGGTATGGAAATGTATATATCGAATTTATAGACAGCAAAGAAAAAATGTTACTGCAAAACTGTCTTTATATGCCACAAATTGGTATCAACCTTATAAGTCAAGGAAAACTTCAGAATGTACAATCAGTATTTTCATTTGCAGGCTGTGCACTTATTAGAAATAATAAAGTAATCACTAAAGGTGATAAAATAGGTAATTTATATTACCTACCTATTAAAGTAATTAAAAAACATAATATTACAAGGCCTAAGCCTACTATAAATATAGTACAAGAAAGTAGTGTAAAAGCACTATATGAATTACTGCACAAAAGAATGGGCTATATTAGTGCAAAAGCTATAGGCTACCTGCTGAAAAACACGAAAAACACTGATTTACAAGGTAGTCATGTGACTACTAAGAAAAGTATGATTAGTAATCAAAAGATAACTAAGAGTACTACTCAAAACAAAAATCTGCTTAACAAAAGCTTATATAATAGCCTAAATATAGCAATTTCTAGTGGATTAAATTCAACTTTGTCTAATTCATCCAAAACCAACAAGAAAACTTATCCACCTAATTTACAGAGCTCCACTCGGTGTACGGCCGTTTTTCACTCCGTGTACGGCCATATGGCCCGTGCGAGGAATTGAGCAATTTGATTGGTGAAATTTCGCCTGCGCCTCAGTGGAAGCAGGCCCATGTAATACTGCCGGCAGAATCGCACTCCGCCTTCCTACCTACCTACCTCAGTAACCTTCCAACCTTCCAACCTACCAACCTCATCAACCTCATCGCCGCTACTATAGCTGAATATAAAGATTACTTGGTAATCTAACTTCAAACCTATATATTAAGGCAACCACAATAGTAATGACTAAGCGGTTTGCTAATTAAGCATCACATATGACTTATTTATAAGCCTACAAAGTAGTTAAGTCACGTGATTAATGCTTACCTTATAATTGGCATTTGAAGTCCAAAGGACTTTCCTGCCAAAGGCAACCCTAACCTTAAGGACAGGGTAGCCCTGCAAGTCCAAGGTAGCCTAGCAAGTCCAGGGTAGCCTGGCAAGTCCAGGGTAGCCCGGCAAGTCCAGGGTAGCCCGGCAAGTCCAGGGTAGCCCGGCAAGTCCAGGGTAGCTTTGCAAGTACAAGGTAGGTGCAGAAAATCAAACCACCTAAAACCATCAAACCCTGTCAAACCACTTGATACGTATCACCACCTTGTAAGTGTGTAATCTACATATTACTACTAATTCA